ATCTTGCCATCACGAACAACCCCGCTCTACCTTTTTCCATCACGAACAACTCCCCCACCTACTTTCGCCATCGCGATCCATCTCCCTTACCTCTCCATCGCGACTCAACCCTCCTACATCTTGGTCTTCTCCACCACAGAGAAAGAGAGAGAGAGAGAGAGAGAGAGAGAGAGAGAGAGCCCTAGGGTTTCCAGATCTAGACACTGAAAAAGAAGAGGAAGATAGAAGATGGGCCACAGAGAGAGGTGACAGAGGTGGAGGGGTACAGGGCAGTGGTTGATGGCTGGTGATGGCTAAGGGTTTGGATTTGTGTTAGGGTTAGGCTTAGTTTGAGAAGATGAAGGTAATTTGGTATTATTAAAAAATTAATGGTGTGTATTGAGACAAAATTAAAAGTTTTAATTTGTGTATAGTGTGAACTAAGCAAGTGGTGTGTACTGAAAGGATTTGTGGTGGGTAAATAGAATCACCCATGATTAATACATCAGTAGGAGTCGTGAGGATCCTCTTTTATAGAGTCCCACACATTTTCCTTTTTATTTTGGGTTAACAGTAAATTTCCATGAGAACAAAAGTCTATCAACACAGAATAAAAGTCTACTCTCAATTAAGGATATGCGCAGTGCGATTCGGGAGATTTGAAAATAACATTATAAATTGAATGGAGGATTAGTAAATTGACAAATTGACAATTGTGATTTGAACGGTTTTAGACGGATTGATGGATTGACGCATAATATATAACAATAATTTGTATAACATTTTTCATATATATAATACAAACTAATTTTATATAATATTTTATATATATATAACTACTAATTTATAATAAATTTCACATAAATCTCTCTAACACTCATTTTTACTTTAATATTTCATTATAGGTTAAAAAATATATATATGTATTAACTATAGCGGAACAGAACAGTTTTGAAGGCGGATTATAAATTTTAAAGTTTAAACCGCAGTTAGCGGATAGAGCAGTGTAGATTGATGCAGATCGTGGCAATTTTAATAGATTGAGCGGTATTTTGTACAACCTTACTTTCAATCATGATGTGGGATTGAGATTAAATTTGTATAAAATGTGAGATTTATTTATAGAATAAATTTGAACTACACGATGATAATTTCAAATAATAAAAGTCTGAATAGTATTATTATTTTTTCTTTAAATTATCACCCATTTGCATTTTACTGATAAATTTCAAAACTCAACCGTTAATCACTTCAAAAGTATTATCCTTTTATTGTTAATCCCGTTTGTTATAATTCTGTTACATTCTATTTGATTAAGGGATTTGAAAATAAAAAGAGAAAATGTGTGTGAAACTAGGTGAAATATATGTATATTTTATACCTTTTTTTTTTTTTTTTTTTTTTTAAATCTCTTCTCAAATCCCCAACCAAACATAGCGTTAGGGATTTATACAAAATCAAATCATATGTAAAATACGTGAAACATTATTAATTTTTTTGGGACAATAATGCCTCTATTTGGTTATTATGTTTGCACTTTGTCACTAAAGATGTAGGAGACATTACAAATGGAATCACTAGATAAAGATATTATTGTCTTAACAAATTAATAACATGTATTATTGTTCTTAGAAAATTAAGAAGTTAAGCGTATGACCTAACATAGGTTAAATCAGGGGATAGAATCCTAACAAAAGATATTTAATAAGATAATAATTCGAGGAGGTTAACTATTGCAGGCAAAGTACAAATGAATCATAATTGGGTGAATTACATTAACGGTTTCTATAGTTTGGAACTTGTGTCACTTTGATTCTCGACTTTTCAATTGTGATACATTTGACCCTGCATTTTGAATCTTGTTCCAAATACGGACAATTGAAAATACCATTACTCAATTTCAAAGATAAAGTTGTCATTTGATAAAATATAAACTAATTTGACAAAAATAAATGTCAAAAAAATATTTTTGAATTTCAAAAACTATTTCTATCCACCAAAGATAAAATTATGTAAAATTGATAAATCTTTTACACGTTTATTTATTTATTTATTTTGTCAAATTGATTTTTATTATGTGTTTAGATGATAATCATGTAACGGATGATTATTTTTATTTTCATTAAATTAGTTTCTATTTTTTTTCCAAAACTCAAATATAGCGACCACTTTGATATCATTATTAAACCAATTCATTAAACCAAAAAATTCAAAACTAAAAATATTTCATATATTAAACATATTGATTACACATTAAAAGCCTAACAACCACACATTACATGATTATCATCCAAACATATTACAAATTTTTTTTTGTGATTTATCAGTTTTACATAATTTTATCTTTGGTAGGTAGAAATAATTTTTAAAAATTCAAAAATATATATATATATTTTGTCAAATTAGTTTATATTTTATCAAATTGATAACTTTGCCCTTGAAATTTAGCAATGGTTGAACCTTATTTGGAACAAGATTTAAAATTCAGGATCAAATGTGTCATAGTTGAAAAGTCAGAAACTAAAGTGATATGAGCCCCAACTATAAGGACTGTTAGTGTAATTTGCCAATTATAATTTTAGGGGGTTCATTGTAATTCACTTTTTTTATTTTTGTACAAATTTTAATTATTTTTTATGTTTTTTAAAATGTGAATTGTTTTTGAAAAATATTTTCAAAAATAGTTTCATAAATAATTTGTCAAACAAATTTTGATTTTTCAAAAAAAAAAAAAGAAGCTAAAATTAGCCTTCATGTTTGATTTGATTGTGTTCGTCTTTGATTTTCTAGAAAATATAATGGTAACAAGATATTAACTAGTTTCCTAATTAATTTAATGGAATTTAAATATTAAAGAACTATGAAATCCACCGAATAATGTGAAAAGCTAACAGTTTAATTTGTGTCTTCATTTACATATTGATAAGGACCATGTGCCACATCACCTGTGAGGAACTCCCACTTCTACCTTATAAGGGCACTGGCCTCTCCACTTGTCAATAGGCCTTTTCTCCTGAGGAGAAACAAAACCGTGAGGCTTCAGTCAAAAGGAACAATATGTTGACGGGGGCGCGAGAGGACAAGCATCGCGAAATTTGGCGCTAGAAAGAGGGCATTTTAAACTTTGAGGGTAAAGGCTTATCTTTGATGGAAGCAGAAAAGGGAGAGTTGCTGATTTGGTCTCGTTCCAAACAGGGATGCTGTCTCCTCTGGCATAAGAGGGTTGGACACTGCTAGCTTCTCCTTCATGGGTGGCAATGTTTTGTTGTTGCCAATGGCGGTTTTGGAAGGGCTCAGGGTCATTTTGGTTATCTTGCGAACCTTGTCTTCATTTACATATTGATAAGGACCATGTGCCACATCACCTGTGAGGAACTCCCACTTCTACCTTATAAGGGCACTGGCCTCTCCACTTGTCAATAGGCCTTTTCTCCTGAGGAGAAACAAAACCGTGAGGCTTCAGTCAAAAGGAACAATATGTTGACGGGGGCGCGAGAGGACAAGCATCGCGAAATTTGGCGCTAGAAAGAGGGCATTTTAAACTTTGAGGGTAAAGGCTTATCTTTGATGGAAGCAGTAAAGGGAGAGTTACTGATTTGGTCTCGTTCCAAACAGGGATTCTGTCTCCTCTGGCATAAGAGGGTTGGACACTGCTAGCTTCTCCTTCATGGGTGGCAATGTTTTGTTGTTGTCAATGGTGGTTTTGGAAGGGCTCAGGGTCATTTTGGTTGTCTTGCGAACCTTGAGGATTTCCGATGGTGTGCTGTGAAGCCATGAATTGTGTTGTAACCATTCAATCCGACACTGGCCAAAGAAGTCTTATTTTGCATGTTCTCTATAACCCCTTGTAGTTGGAGTTTGACAGCCCGCAATTCCTCGTCTCAAACAGGGATATTGTCTCCTCTAACATGAGAGGGTTGGACACTGCTAGCTTCTCTTTCATGGATGGCAGTGTTTTGTTGTTGTCGATGGTGGTTTTGAAAGGGTTCAAGGTCACTTTGGTTAAGTCGCAAACCTTGAGGATTTCAGATGGTGTGCTGTGAAGCCATGAATCGTGTTGCAACCATTCACTCCAACACTGAAGATGGGTGATAAGGAAACCGTTTTTGGCGACAATGAACACAACTGTTAACCGAAGGGTTCCCACAGATCCCATCATCAATAAAAGGAGGCCAAATTTCATGACGCCTGTCCTCTCGCACCCCGTCAACATATTGTTCACTTTGGCTTTTGGAAGTTCGATAGCAATTGTCTTAAAATGCTTATGAGTTGTGTTTCTTCTCAAGTGTCGGTCCATTTTATCTTCTAGTTGACCTGTGCAGTACTTCATTAATACTAGTCTATAGTTTAACTTTCTGGTAATTGAAAAATGTTTCGCTGTGCCTGTGACTTACTATCAAGTGATCCAGATTCTATGAAATATGTTATTTATTATCAGTAATTAATCATTTTTTATTACCTACCTGACTTTGCATTCCTTAAAAATAAGACACACAGCACTAGGACAAAGGAGATACATCATTGCATACCTTTCAAAGTTTAAGAAGATGAATGCCAAGATTTAGAAATTATGGAACTTCGAGAAAATTTTTGTAGTTTTTTTTTGTGGAATAGTAAAGTTTTCAACTCTGTAGTTCTATTACTGTTCATTCTGATGATTTCTCACTCTCTCTGTTCATCTTCCTCTCAAACTCTTCATCTGCTTCTCTCTCTTGAACTTGGTTTCTTGATATAAAGAGAGATATTTATTGCTTTTACTAAAAGAGAGAATGTAAAGAAAGATGTTTGTGTCTTGTGCTAGAACCATGTTTTCTCGCTGATGTCATTTGTGATATGATCCTCTGGGATTTGCGTTTTATATATCATCTAGTCTTTATCATGAGACCTTTTTATCTGTTGTATGTACCTTGCAGGAAACTGGTTTTGTCAAATAAGCAACATTCTCAGATATTTGTGGATGAACTGTTATTGTTTGCATTGGTTCTCTCATATGCGCCTAAAAGTGAATGCTCTTGGAGCCATAGGTAATGGCAATTTTATTGAAACGGAGTTGCTTTACACTTAAGTAGGAAATGCACTGATAAAAGTATTTGTTGTATTAGGCTATTATAGACAACAATATTAGGAACTAATCCAGCTATTTCAATCTTTTCAAACAATGCCAATGCCTCATCAAGGTATTGGTTGTTGCATAGGCCATCCAACAAAGTAGAGTAAGTAAACAGATTAGGAATTTGGCCATAAGTTTGCATCTCATCAAGAAGCAAAAGTGCATCTTGAGGTCTTCTTGTTTGGCACAAGCCACCAATAAGAGTGGTGTAGGTAATAGTATCGGGAAGCAATCCTTTTCGAGACATTTCCTTAAAGAGATTCATGGCTTCATCTATGTTTTTGATCTTACAGTACCCATTTATCAAGATATTATAAGCGAAAACATTAGGAGCACAACCCCTACTGACCATAACATCAAACATTTTCCTTGCCTCATCTACTTGGCCACACAGACAATACCCATCCATTACAGCACTATAAGTGACAACATCAGGCACCACACCTCTTTGGATTATCAATTGAACAACAGCTTGTGCTTCTTTGGCCTTTCCTTCTTTACAAAGTGCATCAACTAAAATGGTAAAAGTTTGAACATTTGGCCAGATATTCTTACCAACCATTTCATTCAACAATCTTATAGCTTCTTTCCACTCACCTAAACTACATACACTTTGAATTAATGACGTGTAAGTGACGACATTTGGTGAAAAACCTTTACCTATCATTTCCGAAAAGAGCTTGAAAGCCTCGATTACTAGCTTGTCCTTGCAAAGTCTATTGATGACCGTGCTGTTTTCCACTAGTCCAAGCTCAAAACCTCCTATTTCTTCCATCTTTCTTAGCAAAAGAATAGCAGCACTGGTGTTTCCAATTTTGCATAGTCCATTTATTATAGTGCCGTAAGTAATGAAATTGGGTTGGAACCCTTTCTCCACAATTTCATCAAAAAACTTAACTGCAGAAGCCATGTTACCATTAAGACAAAATCCCTTGATGAGGGTAGTGAAGGTTGTGGTGTCTGGTTCATAACCAAGTTTCAATAGATTCCTGAAAACAGAAAAACCCAAATCAACTCGATTCAAGTTACAGAAACAATTAATCACGCTGGTAAGTGTAAACTTATCAGGTTTGATGAAACCAATTTCTAACAAATTCATTTTCCTAAAAAGAGAAATCACGGTGGAGTAACGCTTCGTTCTTGCAACTGAAGTTAAAAGTTGATTAAATTGAACAATTGATTGCAAAGGTCGCATTCGAAGCATGTGATGAAACTGAGTTAGGGAACCATCATCATCATCAAGATTAGCAAACCCATATTGAAATTGGTCTTCCGCAGAAGCTTTGATATGAAGATGAGAATAGGGATTCAGTAAGATTGTAAGAAAACAAGGAAATTGAGAGAAAATACCCTTGTGAAGATGATCACAAACACCATTTTTCAAAACCACAGCAGCATCGGCACTTCTCGCCATTATCATCTCTCTCTCTCTCTCTCTCTCTCTCTCTCTCTCCTTTCTACAACGCTGAAACGTCGTGTTTCGTCACAAATTTCTCGTTTGTGTTTTCGTATTTCGTTTTCTCTATTTTTCGAAGCAAAAAAAATGACGCGTTAGAACACATGGTTTTTCGCATCATTTTTATTTTAGTAACGATAGATAGTCGAGAAAACACAACCCCACAACTTTTAAAATAATCTGAATTATTTATGTTACTGTCAGACATAATTCTTAAAAAAAATTTAAACATATCAATGATTAATGGGTGATTCTATTTATACACCTTAATTACTCATAGTTCACACCATTATTAATAAATTTTTAATTATAATTTTATCCTTCAATTAAATATCCAAATTGCCCTCATCTCTATTTCATCTCCTTCATCCACAAACATTTACCTAACCTATTGACAACCACCGTAGGCTGCTGCCACCGCTATCGCCACTACACCCCCTTGCCTCCGGTCGCCTCCTCTCCACAGCTTTTCTCTCTACTTTCCATCCTCAAACAGCTTCCTAGACACTGTCGTCCTAACCCTAACATCACTACACACCATTGTCGCTGCTGCCATCACCATCAACCCTCGTCATCGCAACCACCACTAACCTCTCTCCCTAGGCCTGTTGCGCCTTTCCCAACTCCGTCGTTCACCCCTCTGTCGTTGTACGCCCTTATCTTGCCATCGCGAACAACCCTGCTCCACCTTTTTCCATCACGAACAACTCCCCCACCTACTTTCGCCATCGCGATCCATCTCCCTTACCTCTCCATCACGACTCAACCCTCCTATATCCTGGCCTTCTCCACCACACTGTGAGAGAGAGAGAGCCCTAGGGTTTCCAGATCTACGCCCTTATCTTGCCATCGCGAACAACCCTGCTCCACCTTTTTCCATCACGAACAACTCCCCCACCTACTTTCGCCATCGCGATCCATCTCCCTTACCTCTCCATCACGACTCAACCCTCCTATATCCTGGCCTTCTCCACCACACTGAGAGAGAGAGAGAGAGCCCTAGGGTTTCCAGATCTAGACACTGAAAAAGAAGAGGAAGATAGAAGATGGGCCACAGAGAGAGATGACAGAGGTGGAGGGGTACATGGCAGTGGCTGACGGCTGGTGATGGCTAAGGGTTTGGATTTGTGTTAGGGTTAGGGTTAGGGTTAGGGTTAGTTTGAGAAGATGGGGGTAATTTGGTATTATTAAAAAATTAATGGTGTGTATTGAGACAGAATTAAAAGTTTTAATTTGTGTATGGTTTGAACTAAGCAAGTGGTGTGTACTGAAAGGATTTGTAGTGTGTAAATAGAATCACCCATGATTAATACATCAGTAGGAGTCGTGAGGATCCTCTTTTATAGAGTCCCAAACATTTTCCTTTTTATTTTGGGTTAACAGTAAATTTCCATGAGAACAAAAGTCTATCAACACAGAATAAAAGTCTACTCTCAATTAAGGATATGCGCGGTGCGATTCGGGCGATTTGAAAATAACATTATAAATTGAATGGAGGATTAGTAAATTGACAGCTTGACAATTGTGATTTGAACGGTTTTAGACAGATTGATGGATTGACGCATAATATATAACAATAATTTGTATAATATTTTTCATATATATAATACAAACTAATTTTATATAATATTTTATATATATATATAACTGCTAATTTATAATAAATTTCACATAAATCTCTCTAACACTCATTTTTACTTTAATATTTCATTATAGGTTAAAAAATATATATGTATTAACTATAGCGGAATAGAACAGTTTTGAAGGCGGATTATAAATTTTAAAGTTAAACCGCAGTTAGCGGATAGAGTGGTATAGATTGATGCAGATCGTTGCAATTTTAATAGATTGAGCGGTATTTTGCACAACCTTACTTTCAATCATGATGTGAGATTGAGATTAAATTTGTATAAAATGTGAGATTTATTTATAGAATAAATTTGAACTACACGATGATAATTTCAAATAACAAAAGTCTGAATAGTATTATTATTTTTTCCTTAAATTATCACCCATTTGCATTTTACTGATAAATTTCAAAACCCAACCGTAATCACTTCAAAAGTATTATCCTTTTATTGTTAATCCCGTTTGTTATAATTCTGTTACACTCTGTTTGATTGAGGGATTTGAAAATAAAAAGAGAAAATGTGTATGAAACTAGGTGAAATATATGTATATTTTATATATTTTTTCTTCTTTTTTTTTTTTTAAATCTCTTCTCAAATCTCCAACCAAACATAGCGTTAGGGATTTATACAAAATCAAATCATATGTAAAATACGTGAAACGTTATTATTTTTTTTTGGGACAATAATGCCTCTATTTGGTTATTCTGTTTGCACTTTGTCACTAAAGATTTAGGAGATAGTACAAATGGAATCACTAGATAAAGATATTATTGTCTTAACAAATTAATAACATGTATTATTGTTCTTAGAAAATTAAGAAGTGAAGCGCATGGCCTAACATAGGTTAAATCACGGGATAGAATCCTAACAAAAGATATTTAATAAGATAATAATTCGAGGAGGTTAACTATTGTAGGCAAAGTACAAATGAATCATAATTGGGTGAATTACACTAACGGTTTCTATAGTTTGGAACTTGTGTCACTTTGGTTCTCGACTTTTCAATTGTGATACATTTGACCCTGCATTTTGAATCTTGTTTCAAATACGGACAATTGAAAATACCATTACTCAATTTCAAAGGTTAAGTTGTCTATTTGATAAAATATAAACTAATTTGACAAAAATAAATGTCAAAAAAATATTTTTGAATTTTTAAAAACTATTTCTATCCACCAAAGATAAAATTATGTAAAATTGATAAATCTTTTACACATTTATTTATTTATTTATTTTATCAAATTGATTTTTATTATGTGTTTAGATGATAATCATGTAACAGATGGTTGTTTTTATTTTCATTAAATTAGTTTCTATTTTTTTTCCAAAACTCAAATATAATGACCACTTTGATATTATTATTAAACCAAAAAATTCAAAACTAAAAATATTTCATATATTAAACATATTGATTACACATTAAAAGCCTAACAACCACACATTACATGATTATCATCCAAACATATTATAAACATTTATTTGTGATTTATCAATTTTACATTTTATCTTTGGTAGGTAGAAATAATTTTTAAAAATTCAAAAAAATATATATATTTTTTGGTCAAATTAGTTTATATTTTATCAAATTGATAACTTTGCCTTGAAATTTAGCAATGGTTGAACCTTATTTGGAACAAGATTTAAAATTCAGGATCAAATGTGTCATAATTGAAAAGTCAGAGACTAAAGTGATACGAGCCCCAACTATAAGGACTGTTAGTGTAATTCGCCAATCATAATTTTAGGGGGTTCATTGTAATTCACTTTTTTAATTTTGTACAATTTTTAATTATTTTTTATGTTTTTTAAAATGTGAATTGTTTTTGAAAAATATTTTCAAAAATAGTTTCATAAATAATTTATCAAACAAATTTTGATTTTTCAAAAAAAAAAAAAACTAGAAAAAATTAGCATTCATGTTTGATTTGATTGTGTTCGTCTTTGATTTTCTAGAAAATATAATGGTAACAAGATATTAACTAGTTTCCTAATTAATTTAATGGAATTTAAATATTAAAGAACTATGAAATCCACCGAATAATGTGAAAAGCTAACAGTTTAATTTGTGTCTTCATTTACGTATTGATAAGGACCATGTGCCACATCACCTGTGAGGAACTCCCACTTCTACCTTATAAGGGCACTGGCCTCTCCACTTGTCAATAGGCCTTTTCTCCTGAGGAGAAACAAAACTGTGAGGCTTCAGTCAAAAGGAACAATATGTTGACGGGGGCGCGAGAGGACAAGCATCGCGAAATTTGGCGCTAGAAAGAGGGCATTTAAACTTTGAGGGTAAAGGCTTATCTTTGATAGAAGCAGCAAAGGGAGAGTTGCTGATTTGGTCTCGTTCCAAACAGGGATGCTGTCTCCTTTGGCATAAGAGGGTTGGACACTGCTAGCTTCTCCTTCATGGGTGGCAATGTTTTGTTGTTGTCAATGGCAGTTTTGGAAGGGCTCGGGGTCATTTTGGTTGTCTTGCGAACCTTGAGGATTTCCGATGGTGTGCTGTGAAGCCATGAATTGTGTTGTAACCATTCAATCCGACACTGGCCAAAGAAGTCTTATTTTGCATGTTCTCTATAACCCCTTGTAGTTGGAGTTTGATAGCCCGCAATTCCTCGTCTCAAACAGAGATATTGTCTCCTCTAACATGACAGGGTTGGACACTGCTAGCTTCTCTTTCATGGGTGGCAGTGTTTTGTTATTGTCGATGGTGGTTTTGAAAGGGCTCAAGGTCATTTTGGTTAAGTTGCAAACCTTGAGGATTTCAGATGGTGTGCTGTGAAGCCATGAATCGTGTTGCAACCATTCACTCCGACACTGAAGATGGGTGATAAGGAAACTGTTTTTGGCGACAATGAACGCAACTGTCAACCGAAAGGTTCCCATAGATCCCATCATCAATAAAATGAGGCCAAATTTCGTGACGCCTGTCCTCTCGCACCCGTCAACATATTGTTCACTTTGGCTAGAGGCTCATGGTTTTGTTTCTCCTCGGAGGAAAAGGCCTGTTGACAGGTGGAGGGGCCTAATGCGCTTATAAGGTAGAAGTGGGAGTCCCTCCCTGGTGATGTGGGACATGATCCTCGTCACATATCTTTTCTTTATTATTATTATTATTTTTTTCCCAGCAAATTTTTGTTTATATTCAAGATTTAAACACAACTTTAATAAATTTGTAACTAGAAGTCCAGATTAATCAATCATTTTATAGACAGTATTAAAAAAGCAAAAAGAAAGTGACAAATAAAATAAAAAAAAAATTGATCCATCATTTCTGACATCTACCAATACTGTTACTCCAATCAACAAATTCATCATGTATCTCTTGAATAAAGTAATAATAAGAACTATGTTGTGTACTTTAGTTAAAATATAAAAACTCTTTTTGAATCACTATAAAATTTGTCACACCCATTACTCT